TAATTCCCAACTTTAACATACTTTCAGCAAATAATAGCAAAATCAATTGCTAGCCACTTGTAACCACCACTTATATAGAAACACTTATATAGAAAGTATTCTAACCCCAATATTCAACCGTAATATTATATTTACTAAATATCATCCCTTTTTTTAACCCAGAGCATAAGGCAGAAGTGCAAAATATTGCTCATAAGTCACCCAGCAATGTCCCAGACCTCAAATTTCACTTTCGGGTGAAACAAAATTTCTAATTCAAAAAAAGCTTACATCCATTCACACCCCTTAAAGTTTCCCAAACATTGCAATTCACAAGTTCAAGCCTTCCCAAATAAACCTCCATATCTCGAAATAAAGCCAATTTAATTCAGGAAAGCAGAACAATAATCGCACAATATAAGCAACCATTCGTCGCTAAGACAAACGTCACAGAAACTCCCACATGTAAACATCATCAATGATTTTGAATAAATAATTTGGTGTATACGAAATACTTACTTGATGCGGAAGACGACATAATTAATGATCTTGATCTTGATGATCACAAGAGGCTTGATCGATTAGTAGATCTAAATCAGTTTCTCCCTCCTTGATTGCTTGGTTATCTTGATGCCATCGTCGTTCGCTCAGTTGGTTAGAGTGCTCGTGCTGATAACGTGTTGTAAATTGGAACTCTCAAGCATCTATCAATCCAAGCATAAGATGTGCAGTAAAGAGAACGATAAAAGAGAAGCAGAAAAGTATGTCATCTTATTCATCAGTATAATCACCCTTTTATAGGGTTTACAAGAGGGAAGCCCTACAACCTATTCCTACTCACTAATGGACTTCTGGCCCAATTATTTATTAGTAATGTCCATATTAATATATTTATAACAAACACCACTTAATTTGCACTAGGACACCATACTTGCCAACTAGTATAAATAATGTGCATGTGCACAATTATAAATGAAAATTTATATATTATTTTGTATGTGTATATAATTAATATTCAAAATAAAAAATTAAATAATGAGGATATCATATTTTATAATTTTTATTACTTTTAAACATAAACAATATAAGTATAAACTATTTAAAATAGATAAAAATCAACAATATTGATTACAACAGTGTAATTATGAAAATTTTGGGTGATTACGACCAACTTAAAATAATATTAAAACTATTATTATAGCAAATGTGAGCGGAATTTTAAGTGATTTAGTTATGCCATAAAAATGCAATTAACTAATTTTAGTTAAAAAAAAATACTTAATGAAAAAGATAAACTATTTAAGTAGTTTAAAATAGTTTTTAAATAGAACTTTTAATATGTAGAAACTTTCATATATCATTTAGCGTGACTAATGATGATTAGTTAGTTATAGTTATTAATGTAACAGTTTCTTTTTAAATTTGGATGAAAAATGAGTGTATTTCATTTATACATTAAATTCTTTGCCTATATATAAAACTATAAATATAATAATAACGCTCATAATATTTATATAGGAGTCATTAATTATTATTTTTATAAATAATACTACTACTTCTATTTAAAAATTATATAGAATGAAAATTAGAATTATTAAAATGAGTGGTTACAACCATACCAATTGATTTCAACATTAGTATGCTTACATAATAATTACAAAACTATACTACTATATAAAACCAAAATATGTACATATATAGTGGAAAATGAAAATTTTTGCATTGATGTGATAGCCCCTAGTAATATATATAGATTGTTTTACATTTTAGTTATTTTTCATTAGACATTACAAAAAAAATGATGAAAATACAATGTAAATTAACAAGGAAAACGTTACATCTATAATCTATAATTATATTAAAAGAATAACCTTTTTTAAGTTGTCGCCAAAAAACTGGCGCCAAAACAATAAATGTATGTTGTTTTATTATTTTTCAAAAATCTGTTTTATATACGTTCATTAAACCTCTCCAAAATCTGTTTTTTATTTCCTTATTTTTTGCTAATCAAAACTGCCCCAAAATAGTTGATTTATTATAAGAATGAACGGCAGTTTTGAAATAGCTAATTTATTGGACAGTTTTTCTTTATAGATAGATTATAGATAGATATCATTTCCTTAATTATTGGATGGGATTTGTTTGGGATTTATTTATCTCAATATCAAACCCGTGATCTGCAATTAACGCACGTATAAATTATATTCATTTATAGAATATTAAGACATTTTTTACATTTTTAATTTGAACTTTTATTTAAAACAAATCAGACTTCGACTTTTTTTTCTTTATTTAAATACAATAGTCTATACTTATTTATAACAATTCCACTTAATTTGAATTTTTCAAAAGAGAAT